ACAGTAGGCTCCACGATAGCGATCGAACGAGCCAATGCATCTGCCTTGATTCACTTTATCTCATCTCTTGGGGGCAACCCACATTTCTCTTGATAAAGATGACTAAACAACCAACGCCATTCATGATACTCAGCAAGGATACCTAAATCAACGTGCACCTTCTTCATATCTGGAGGAGTCTTGGGAGTTTAGCCAGATTCTGAATCTACATAAAAGATAAGGATAATTAACAAATCAAAAGGCAGTCTAGAGACTAAGCAGTCTACTTACCAGTGATGAAAATCATCAGAACACGCAGCTCAGAGGAAGAATCAAACTCACATTCTCTACTTATCTCCAAAGTCTCCTTAGCCCAGTCATTATCTCCCTTGCTCGAATGGTCAAAGAGCCTATGATCGGATAGCAGCTACCCAACTCCACCAATACGGCCTATGTCAAAGAAGTACCAGAATTTGTTGACAGTCAAATCCAAGTCAAAGAATTGGCTTAGATTAAGGAATGCCACCATCATGCAGACCGCATTTGGATAACATTGAGTGGGGGCACACTTCATGGAGCAAAGCACTTATTGGAAGAAACATGGCATGGGAAAAGTAAATACCAACACGAAGTAGTAAGGGTGAAACTTGATAGCTCTCTGAACCCCGCTACATGACTCACAACTACTCTTCTCATTGACACGTTTCACACAAATCCCAGATGGAATGGCGTGCTTGTATGCTTCAAGGAAATCTCTGAATGAGTCATCGGAATTAATTTTGAAGTGAGCAACCTTGAAGTAGCCCATTTTACTCAAAAACCTGCCTTGACGATACAACGACGGCACACCATCATCACTTTTATAGCTTGAAGAAGACATGCTCGAAGAAATTCTACAAAGATGCAAGGAAGAATTGTTAGACAACTGTACACATAAAAAAAAAAAAAAAAAAAAGACGCATTAGGCCCTACGGCCCAAGACCGCAAGAGCCTAACAGTCGCACCAGTTCCCATGGCCTGGTCTATCTTTCTCTCGGCTCGCAGGCCTTACAACCCAATCCGGTTAGAAGGGGCTGGTGCCCCCACGCCTCCCTCTCTCACCTCTCGCATGGGCCAAGCCCAACGGCTCGTGAGCCCAGCCAATTAAGGAGGCTCGAGGCTCCATTCCTCTCTCCAACACGGGCTCAGGCACAATGGCCCAAACCTAAGCAACCCAACACCCTAGCCCAAGTCAGCCACTCATCGAGCCCTAGGCTCACACCGCTAACCCTTGGCCTAAGCCCAGCCGCTGCACAACAACAATGTCGTGGCCTCTCCAAGCCACTTTTGACACCTCTTTGGCCCCCGTCAAGCCAAATTTCAAGCCCCGATGCTCCAAAAAATTAAGAAGACAAGGAAAATTAATTTTTTTTCTTACCTTGGTGCGGCGTGAAGACGAAGAAAGCAACGGAAGACAGTATTTTGCATGCGCAAGTGAAGAAGATTGCTAGGGGAGGGGAACTAATATCCTCTAGCTTTCTCTCTCTTGTAGGGTGGAATAAATTGCTCTCTAAAGTTGATTTAATCATCTACTTAAGGTAGACATAAATAGACTTTGGAAGTAATTTATTTCCCTTTCCTAGAATGATCTAATTTCCAATTAAAGTGAGAATCTACATCAAAATAGGAAACAATCTTATGTTTCCTAAAGTAAGGGAAGATCTCTAAACCTGTTGCCCTTTCCTACGAGCAGCCCAATAGGTGTGGGGGCATTTATGGAGCCAAAAATAATCAAGTAAATATGGAGGTGACACATGGACTTTTGGGTAAAAAGGACAAAATTACCCTCAAGACACACGGGGATTCCTACGCGCATGCAATAGATAATAAGGCTTAGTCAAGGAAGAGTCAAAAGTGATCAAAATGGTATTTATTCAAATCTCTCTCATCACTCCTCATCAAATCCTTATTCAAAAGGTAACTCCCAAATTTCCTGTTTAATTTAGCATTAATTGACATGTTCATTGCAAGATATTATTTCACATAATATCTTGCAATTATTCACCCAATTACACCATATATGGCCAGCCACTATTCTCCAAATAGGGCTGGCCATTCCCCTATAAATAGCCTATTATCCCACTAAAAAGCTAAGCCATTTGCTACCCCAAACTCCTAAACACATTCTTTTCAGAATTCTAACTTTGGCATCAAAGATTCTTCGGCAAAAGCCCCCAAATTCATCATGGGCACGTGAGGCTTTTGGCCTTAATCTTATAAGCTATTATTTTGCAGGTGGATTTTTGTCAAAGGAGAATACATTGGAAATTTGCATCCACAACTACAGTGCTCATAGTTAATCGGCGCTTGTCTCCCAATATACAATAACCATGTCCTTGTGAATAGTCAAATCACAAGGCTTCATGAACCACAATTTTGTTGAAACTCTCTCTCATATAGACTCGATGAGACTTTCTAATATTTAGTGCACTCTATGTATGATCATGTAAACATTGAAAAGTTATTAAGTGATTATTAGGGGTGGTTCGGTATAGAATCCCAAACCGAAAATGGAATCTCGAATCCCAAACTGAAAATTTTCACGATGGGAATTTGAAGACCAATCCCAAACCAAACTTTTGGTATTCCCGAAATATTTTTGGTATTTCGGGATGGTTTGGTATTCCCAAATTTCTTACAAATTGAAATAGCAATCATTCATGCTATGTTAAATTAACATGCAACCCAAATAAAATAAGTAACAAAACCCAAAAGCAAAAAAATAAGTTACAAACCTAATATGTTCGAAAACTAACAATACAAGTTTTTGATTACGTATAGAAGAAATAGATACATTTATGGGAGGTTCGTACCGGCAAATGTGGTGATAAATGGCTATAGTTAATACCTGTAGCCCACACCAATTATATTGCTACTAGTAGTTAGCAACCGTTTAAATTTGTATTTCATATATATATATATATAATATATAATATAATACTTATTTTTGGTTCGGTATGGGATTATCGAAAAAGTGAGTAGACAATACTGAATCTCGTACCAAAATTTCGGGATCGGTTGGGTATTTCATCCCGAAAATTTTAGAAATTTTGGTTTGGAACTTTTTAGGTTTGGGATCGGGATTTTTTTGGTTTGGTTCAAGAAATTTTTCCAGCCCTAATTATTGGGGTTTCCCTATTTATAGAATATAAGATACATCTTTGGAAAGCATGAGACTATTCATGAAGAGTCAAAAGTTGCAACTCTTCATTTGAGTAGACACGTCTTTCTACCAAAAGACTCGACTTCTAATTCCTATTCAATTAATAAATTTAAAATAATAATATTATTATTAAATTTTCCAACAAACTCATCAAAACATGCAGTTATGACCATTTTCATCAACTCCGTCAGAATGACTCATGTTAGAAGGATCATTGCTACAATTTGGGTTAAAGTTAAGGGACCGTTGCTCCAATTGGATTAAAGTTAAGGGGTCATTTCTCCAATTAGGTTAAAGTTGACAACCCATTAGTACAATTTATTTCATTTGGTTTTCCATGTTTGCCCCTTGATTCAACCTCATGTGCGTGACACGTGACTTATTTTGACGGAAGGTTTATCAGAGTTTACGAAAATGATCATAACTGCACGTTTTGATGAGTTAAATAATCAATGGTCATAGATTCAGCCTTTTATAAACTCATGCAAGGTCTATCCTCTCAATGTGAAATTCAGTCTCAACACAAATTTGACATTCAGTAAACTTTCTTTTACAGTATTCATTACTTGTATTCTGGGAAGCTCATAAAACTTGCCAAGAGATGTGCGGCCAGAATTAAATTTTTCTTTTTCACGCAGTCGATGCAATCCTTCTGCCTGTCTGTTCACCATTCACCGCCCCTCCCCACCGCACATCTTCTTCTTCCGTTTTTGCCTGCAGCTCCTTCAATTCTCTTTCCAACCATTCTGTGTACAATACTAAACTACAAGCCATGCTTATCAGTTATCAGTTATATATCAAGGCCCATAACTCATTTTCTGTTTTTTGTTTTAATTTTCATCTCTTTGGTTTTTTCCTTTTTTCTCCTCAATTTTCACTCTCTCGTGTTGGAGGCTCTTCAACTGAAGAAGAACCATTTTTCTTTAAGTTATTGAATAATTAATAAATAAAAGATAAAGGAAGAACAGATTTGGAGATTAATTAGTATGAGCTAAAAATAAAAAATGAGATCGAAATTTGTATACTTGCATCTGAACAATTTTGGACCTAAAATTTCTGATCAGAAATTTTCTTTTTGGTTTCAAAACTTAATGTGGTAAGAAAGTATTGAAATTTACCAAGAAATCTCCTTTTTTTGCGGTTCTTTCTATTAAGAAGTCAATGGAAGTAATGACAACAAAAATCAGAAAGGTATTTCAAGATGGAGAGAGAAATGACGAAGGTATCAACAAAAATCCTAGATTGAAGAGATACAGAGAGTTTAAAGATAAGAGAGAGGGAGAGAGAGAGGAGTGATGTTATACCGTTCCGCATGAAAAAAGAGAAAATTTATCTTAGCCGCACGATCAGTATGAACGGCCAATATTAATGGATTCTCATGGATCCCCAGGGAGAGGTCAGGAGAAGATCTTAGTCGGATTAAACTACCAGAGATTTTCAGCTTACACCAAACTTTATATGCGCCTGTAAACTAATTTCCGCATTCTTTCCGAGTGAGTCTTTCTCTCCTATTGAGTCTCTTACCTTTTAGCGTGAGGTTTTCAAATTTAAGAAAATTCAATGACGACGATCCTAGCTTTGGTCGGGGTCAACTGGTTGGCCTTCTGTGGTTTGTTTGTTTAGGCTATTTTTTGCTTGTGTATATATTAGCTTTGGGACTTTGGTTTGTTTATATGTATGTATTTGTAATAAAAGTAGCTTTTTACCAAAAAAAAAAAAAAAAACAAACTTACACATGTATACCACTAGATTGTAAGGAGGATTTCTAGAGATTCTTAGTAAAGTTTTGAAGGAATTCCTTCAAATTCACAGATAGAGATGTGAAATTTAAGAATGTTTAAAATACACTATAAATTTCTCAAATTTCCTCGAATTCAATAACTTTTTTAAATCCCTTAAAATCAATTTCTAATTAAGCACACTTGAAATATTATAAATTCATTAATATTCTGATTCAGAGAATCACTTGTTAAATTTTCTAAAATCCAAGTCGAACACAACCCCGTAAATTCAAGCATTCAATATTTGCTGGCATCACTGGAAGATCCTTGAGACAGGTGCAGCATCCAAGATCAAGACGAGTAAGTTTGTCGAGATGTTGAAAAGACCAAGTAATTTCAACCAAACTTACACAACCATGGAGATTTATGTCCACAATTTTTGTACTCGAAGAGATATTTGGAACTTGAGTTAGATTTGAAGAGAAACACAAATCGATCACTTTCAAGTTCACAAGTCTCTGCAACAAATTAATAGAAATATCAAGAATTAATATAATTTCTACACTTCATTTTATACAAGAACTAAAATAGGCAGATAATATACCTGATCTTCTGTCCAAAGCTTCTCAACTTTGCTAAATGGCATATGAAGCTCAACTAGTCTTTTTGGAGAAAAGTTTGACGGCAAAGATTCCAGTGGATATCCCCACCAGTAAAGATAACGAAGAGAATCGGGAAGATCTAAAGAAGCAGTGAATTTCAAGTCATACGTTTGAAAACTATTCCCAATTAGCATTAGTAGCTTAGACATTACTTTGAAGTCAGCACGTTCCAATGGAAGCTCTTGAATCTTCTGAATCTTTGACCAATTAACGAATATGGCTTTAACATCTCTAGTTTCCTGGCAATAAGAACAAAGTTCAGAATGTAATAAAAGAATTCTAGAAAGGTATAGAATAATCCAGAGTACTTGCAATGGTAATGATGTAAATGAGTTTTATATATATTTTTTTAAGAATCTAACTTCTTTATAAATGAGTTTTACTTTGGTCTGTTATCATCTAAAATTGGCCATTTGTTTTTCTTGAAAAAAAAAACAGAAAAAGTAAAAATTTGAACACATTTGGCTCTTACATTGTTATCATCCAACACATCATAGACATCCTCATGTGTAAACAACCTACTCCGTTTACCAGGACAATCAAAATATTGTTTCTGAACAATTGCCCTTCCCATTTCTTGTAGCGAATCATGCATCTCAATTGTTTGCACCTCAATTGTTTGCATCTCAATTGTTTGCATCTCAATTGGTTCCCATTTCCATTTTGAATCAATTGATATGAGAGACATATCAATGAGAATTCTAATTCCGGTACTCCCAAACAGGAATCCACGAACATGTAATGCTCGTTCTACCTTATCCACAACCCACCCTTTATGAAAACATGCAATATCCAGAAATATCTCCTTCTCAATTCCTTCCAATCTATTATAACTTATTCCCAACACCTTTAGGATACTTTCACAAGGAAATTTTTTCAATTTGTTGAATGCATCTTCCCAGTCTTGTTTGCTCTTGCAATTGGAGAAGGAGGACCCCAGATCTATAAGAGCCAAAGGAACACGTCCGGCATAATCCACGGCCTTATTTACCAACCCCTTATAATCTTTGTTAGGAAGCCTGTTATTCCTGAAAGCACGGGAACAGAAGAGCTGAAGAGCGTGATTCAGTTTTAATCCCTTAACCTCATAGATCTGTTCCTCTTCAACAGTTTGCCTAAGTGTCCTCTTATCTCTACTTGTGATAATGATTCTACTTCCAATACCAAACTGAAGACTATTTCCAACTAAACGTTCTATTTGCTTTGAATCACTCACATCATCTAGAACAATGAGGACCTTTGTTTTGCCGAGCCTTTCTCGAACCATAGTTGACCCTATGGATAGATCTTCTTCCTTTAATATCTCCTTAAGAAGTGTTTTTTCCAAGTGATCTAGCCCTTCTTTTTGTTCTCTCTCCGTCACATCTCTAAGAAAACAAGAACCTTCGAATTTCGAAGAGAGTTTGTGAAATATAGTTTTAGCAAGGGTGGTCTTGCCAATACCACCCATGCCCCATATACCTACAGTGATGCAATCATCTGGTGAATCAATGCCTAATAGCAATTCGATCTGCTCGATGCGGCTTTTAATTCCAACAAGGCCCTTTAAATCGCAGGATGATTCGCAACACAATTTAGTCCAAATACCCTTCACAACATTCTTTACTAAATCGGCATCCGTCCTGGCACATATAGGTACATATGATTATGAAGGAAAGCAATAGTTAATCTTAGATATACTTTACAAAATCTTAGCAGAAATCAAATCGTCATAAGTTTAAAGAAAATTTAAAATTTTGTACACGTTAATTAAAGAGTTAGTTTGTTACCCAGCATTTTTTGGATGAGGAAACCCAGATCTATTGGCTGCCTTCGTCAAAGCCTCTTTCCACTCTTTCACCTTGTCGATACTTTGGTGTTGAGCCAATGCAGTCTCATAACTCCCCTGTTGTTCTCGTACATCCGATGGATTGGTGTGGTAAAAAATGGGTATCACGAAATCGCCTCCTCTTTTTTCGTTGCATTCGATTATACGCACAAGCTCATCCAAACACCATGCGGAAGTAGCATAGTTTTTTGAGAAAATGATCACCCAAAACTTGGATTTCTCGATTGCCTTCAGAAGAGCAGGTCCGATTTCTTCTCCTCTCTGAAGTCTGTTATCTATGTACGTTACAATTTTCTTCTCAACTAAGGCTTGATAAAGATGGCAGGTAAAAATATTACGGGTATCCATTCCTCTGAAGCTGATAAACACATCATACTTTTCAAGACTTGGGGGGATATCAGCATCAGCTAAAGAAGAATCAACTCCAACAGAATCAGCTACAGCAGAATCAGCTACAATAGAATCAGCAACAGAATCAGCTCCAACGGAATCAGCTACAGCAGAATCAGTAGCATAATCAACTACAACAGAATCAGTAGCATAATCAACTACAGAAGAATCAGCTCCAACGGAATCAGCTACAGCAGAATCAGTAGCATAATCAGCTCCAGCAGAATCAGCAGCAAGATCAACTATAGTAGAATCAGCAGCATAATCAGCTACAACAGAATCAACTATAGCAGAATCAGCTATAACAGAATCAGCCGCAGAAGACGAAGACGAAGAAGAAAATGTTAAAGATCTGCAGCACATGTAAAACAGAGTCCCGACGGCGATGACGATGATGTTGAAAACTTGAATGAACACAATCAACTCCATCACTCTATCTCTAGATCAGATAGATCAAAGTTTACCATAGAAAAATTGAAATTGTAGTCCTTATTAGGTATGTGCACAAAATTACAAAGGCTCCAGGGAGAAATTGAAAAATTGGATAGACAAGGTTTAGTCACTTTCACATACTTAAAAAAATATTTGATAATTGGTACTGCTACTACTTTAAAATTTTCTTTTAAATATGATTAATTAAAAGAAAAGTTTGTCCAAAAGCATTTTCTGTAAGGCATCTTTCAGTAAAATATACGCAACTTTCCAAGAAATCATCAAAAGGGCAAACAAACAAAAAAAACCATAAAAAATATAAAGACGAAATCGTGCAGGTAGTTTCAGCGCAGTAACGATGTGCATTCAAACGGAAGAAAAGGAAAGAGGATGATGATCTCTGGTTCTGTTTGGTGGAAATTCTAAGAATTCTTATATTTTAATCATTCATCATATATCGTGTAGTAAGTTTTTATCAAGTACTATTTGTGTTTAATTTTAAATAAAAATGTTAAATAATCTTTTACCACACGATACACGATGAATAATTAAAATGTGAAAATCCTTAGAATCTCTACAATTTAAATCCGGATGAAATCCAAATCCGACTTACAGAAAAAAAATTAAAAAAAGGTGGAATTGAATCCAGCTCCTCCTGATGAAGTTTCCTAATGCTAGTGGAGGACACATTCCGCCAATATTCAACTTAGTGAATGTGCAATATTCAAAATAACGGTAAATGGTCATAAAAGGGGCACATGGGATGGGGCCTCACTTTACGCGCTTATTCTTCTTTGACATGGCCAAATTTAAAAAAAAAAAAAAAACATTTATATACAACTAAAAGGTCACTATAATAGTTACCGTAAGCGCTTAAAGTTCACTATAATATTTCGTAGACTTTTGCACAACTAACAGCTTCATAGGCCATTGACTAGAATTAGAACAAATTTTTTTCTAGAAAGTTTTGGGGCCTCACTTTACGCGCTTATTCTTCTTTGACATGGCCAAATTTAAAAAAAAAAAAAAAAAAAAAAAAAAAAAACATTTATATACAACTAAAAGGTCACTATAATAGTTACCGTAAGCGCTTAAAGTTCACTATAATATTTCGTAGACTTTTGCACAACTAACAGCTTCATAGGCCATTGACTAGAATTAGAACAAATTTTTTTCTAGAAAGTTTTAACGAAAAATTCACGATACGATTCATTTTAACAAAAAATCATATTTTTACACTAAAAAGTCAATCCTGGTACTATTCACTTTGCCCTTTATTTTATCCTTATCATTAAAACTCAAAGTTTTCAAACTCTTTTAATTAGTTTTCCTTTTTTTCTATTCTTTTTTTTTCCCTTAACAAATAAAGGTTTAGATTTTGGACAGGTTTTTTCTGTTAAAAGCTGGGAGGGATTTAGATAGTGGTGTGCAATGAGAGCAACTCCACCTGGAGCTCCAGCCCAATGAACTAGCTGAATTTCCTACCCAATAGTCCCAGCTCCTTACTCTAGCCCATGCGGGCGATTGGGATGAGGGGGGTCCGAGTGAGAGGCCCGGCTTGAATCGGTGGCCCGAGAGCCTGAGGCCAAATGATGCATGGCTGACGTCAGATCCTGACATCAACCACATTATAAAAAAATTTGCGTCAGGCGCGTGTCGTACATGTGCGCGTCACCGACATCTTTCCAATCGGTGGGGCCCATGATCCAGAAGTCTGAAATGTTACCGTTAGTGGGGCACATGGCACCTTCTTGTCCATTGGATTTCAACGGATACATTATCTGGCCTGTTGGATTTCCAACAGTAAAAAAAAAAAAAAATTCAAACCTTCCGCAAACGGCTAGATGATGTGGCACAATATTAGGCGTTGGATTTGAGATCAACGATCCACATTATTTGCCTTAAAAAATTTTTAAAAAGAAAAAATTCAAATATGTTACCGTTGTGCCACGTGACACAATCTGGAGGGTTGGATTTCAAATTTTTTTTAATCCAATGGTAGAAATTAATTAAGTTAATAAAAAATCCAAAAAAAATTATAAAAAATGAAAAAAAAATGATTTTACTTTTCTATAAATACCTTCTCATTATCTTCTACCTTACACCACAATTTCATATTTTCTCAAATACTTTCAACCACATTCCAATCTTTCTCTCAAAGTTTCAATCCAATTGGTTTCCAACAAAATGACTAATGATGCAGGTACGAATTGGACGCTTATTGAAGATGTTATGTTGTGTTCTAGCTAGGTTGAAGTTACTCATGATCCGATTACGGGTAATGAGATGTAGTTGTGAGAAATGTGGAGTCTTATTCATACCCTTTTTATTGACAAAATTGGTGGGAAAAGAACCAAAAAATCAATGTCCAGTCATTGGAGAATACTCAGCCAATCGTTTAATCTTTGGAGATACGCTTTGGCACAAGTTCGTAGTAATCTTCGAAGTGGGGAAAATTTCACGGATCAGGTAACGATATATTATTTATTTGTTTGTCCTATACCCAAATTTACATTAGCTACTTTGATTATAATTATTTCTTCTCCCGCATTGTGTAGACACTTCAAGCACAAGCTTGGTATAATGCCAAAACCAAAAACAAAAACAAATCATTCACCCGGTGGGAATGTTAGAATATTGTCAAAGATTGTCCTAAATTCAGAGTTGTGCCTGTCGGTTTATAAGTTGTCATGAACAACACCCCTCTACACTCTACGCTCGATCATCACTCTATGCCTGATCATGACTCGCATGTTCATGAAAACGACACAAAACAACCGGAAGCGACCCCTGAACAAGGGTCGAGGTCGACCTGTTATCCAATTAGGCCTCAAAGAGAAAAGGGAGTGCTTCCAAGAATGATTATGCAAAATATATGGAAGAACTTGCTCGCCAAGGTTAATTGACTTTGGCGCGGGAAATGGCTAAATTTGAGGCTGATAAGGTTAAAAAGGAGGCAAAAGCTGCAGCTACTGAGAGAAATTTCAAGCTAATGAGAAAGAAAGAGAGCTACTTAGGCAAGATAGGGAAGAGCTTAAAGAAGAAAGAAGGGCTCAACAAGATCGTGACATTATGAAGGAGCCTGTAGAGGCGATGTCTCCGAATTCTAAATATTTTTGGAATTCAGAGAAAGCTTACGTGGTGCGAAGGAGGAGTGCAAGAGAAGCGAGACCAAGAGGAGATGATCCTAGCACCACAAGAGGAGATGATCCTAGCACCACAAATTGGTTAGGTGATGATTTTCCATTCACGAGGGACTAGGGAATTTGTTTTTAATAATTTTCCAATCACTTTGGGTTGTAATTTCTTATTTATTGAATAGAGTACTTTATGTTGTTTCCAATTTATTGAATTTAGTACTTTATTTAAAATAAGAGTATATTTATTTAATTTGGTAATTTATTTAAACTAAGAGAATCTTTATTCAAGGGACATAAACACACCAAATAAAATTACATAAACATACGAAATAAAATTACAAACACACCAAATAAAAAAAAACTCACTAAATGAACTTAAAAAACACACCAAATAAAATTAAATAAACACACCAAATAAAACAAACACACTAAATGAACTTAAGTTTCTTGAGCTTGTTTCAATTCCCACTAGTGCTCTGTCAAGTCAATTTGCTGGGCATTGTGAATATATGCGTCCTGAAGTTAAGTATATCGTTGAATGAGCCTTTCATTGTAACGTCCATCCCTTTGTAACAGCTCGAGTTGCACGGGTTCCTCGGTGGCATCATGAGCACAATATATTTGTGTTCTGGAATTGTTCATCGTGTCTGGCTCATATTCATCAACGGCATCGTAATCATACTCATCTTCCACAATCATGTTGTGAAGAATGATGCACGCCATCATCATGGATCGAAGCGACTCTAAATCAAACATTCTAGCAGCACCCTTGATAATCGCCCAAACGAGCTTGGAGGATACCAAAACAACGCTCCACATCCTTCCTACACCCCTCTTGACAACTTGCAAAGTGTTTTTCCTTTGCACTTCGCGAACGCGGCACTGTTTTGACAAACAATGGACCACCTTGGGTAAATGCCGTCTGCTAGGTAATATAGCCCATGATACTTATGTCCGTTGACCCAGTACGTGACTCTTGGTGCTTTTCCTTGCAGGACGTCGTTGAACACTAGGGATTGGGCAAGGACATTGAGGTCATTTTGAGCTCCCGGAACACCGAAAAAAGCGTGCCAAATTCATGTATCAAATGATGCCACCGCCTCCAAAATGATATTTTTTGCTCATTTTCTATCCCCATAAGCTCTTTGCCATGCACTTGGACAGTTTTTCCAAGTCCAGTGCATACAGTCGATGCTTCCAATCATCCCAAGAAAACCTCGCATCTTGCCATTCTTCAGAAGCCTTTACAAGTCCATCTCAATAGGTCTCTCGAGGTACTCTGCGGTGTAGATAGATTCGATTACGGAGCAAAACCTCATCAGGGACTCAAGAATGGTTGATTTCCCCATCCTCGCTATCTCATCCACTTTGTCTGTAGATGCTCCATATGCAAGCATCCTCAAGGCAGCAATAATTTTTTGCTCAGGAAAGAGACCCATAACATCAAAAGCATCATTCTTTTGCACAAAGTAAGAATCATGGTTGCAAACAACAATCATGATTTTGTTGAACAAATGTCGTTCCATTCTAAAACGATGTCTAAAGTACGTATCAGGGAATGCACTGTTATGAACAAAATAATCGTCCAAGAGATCTATACCTCGTCGTTGCCCGCTTCTAGCAATGTTTGCGGAACAGTTGTGCTTGGAGATCTGAGCCACAGCTTGGATGACTCGACGGGAATGTGAGGCTCTTTGGCTTCTTGCTTCGTCATCTTTCATTCTACACTCCTCATCCTCTTCCTCTTCCATCTCATTTTCGCCCACTTGGAGATTGAACATTTCTTCCCCTTGCATAAACAATTATTTCTCTTGCTCATCGATTTCCCACAACATCCTTGAAGAAGACATTGTAAGAAAGAAGTAGAAAATATGAATAATGATAGAGATTTTGATTTTGGTGTGTGATTTCTTAGGATGGATGGTGGGTTATAAGGAGAAAAAAGAAAGGATTAGGTTGTAGATATGTCACGTGGCATGCCGTCACTCATTAAAAATCTGATCAAAATCTATCCTTAAAGATTGTAAACAGATTGTGACACGTGGCGCAACGTGATTGGTTAAAAATCGAAAATCTATCCTCAACTATTCTGAAAATGTAACGACACGTGGCACGACGGCATTGGATAAAAATCTTATTGAAATCTATCACCAAAAATTATCTTTTCGGATAATGACATGTGGCGCAATGAGAACGATTAAAAATCTTATCCAAAATTACAAATAAAATTATTTTGTATTATTTTATAAAATAAAAAATATTAATATTTTATTACATATTGCCATGGCTATTCAGTTAGGGGTATAGATGCAAAAGGCAATTACTGTTCATTAAAGGCAGTTACTGTTCACTGGAGGGGATTGAATAGGAAGTTGGGATATT